TTAAGGCTAATCTTCCACTACATGTATGTACCACATTTTGATTGCTTCTATCTCTTCCCCATCATGAATAGTGCTGCTATGAATACTCATATGCAAATCTTTTTATGGCTGTTTACAATCTTTTAGATACATAAGTCTCAGAAGTGAAATAACTAGATCATATGGTAGTCAGATTAATATTTGAGAAATCTCTATTTCATAGCAGTTATATTTTACCTTCTCACAAACAGAAGTACTCAATTTCCCGTATCTTTTCCAACACCTGCTATTAATGTATTTTTAATAGTAGCCAAAATGTGAATTTGACCCTTTCACATTTGTATCTTCAAGTTTTCAGTCTGAGATAACACTGACGTTTATTTCCATGATTTCTGTAAGACTGACACCTATTCATGATGAGTTCCTCTGCCTTTCTCTCAAAGCCATCAGTTACTAACAATCTCCATGGGAATTCTTGACACTGTGATTCATCTTCCTGGCTAAACACCATGATCAACTCTCATCATTCATCTTGACTTTTCTGCAGTATTCAACACAGGTGTTTTCTACTTTCTTCAAATATAATCTTCATTTTAGTCTGAGACACCACTTGCTACCGTCTCTTTATATTTCACTGACCACCTCTCTCTCTGGCTTTCGTTCTCACTCACTCTCTCCCTAGGTTACTTCCTTCCCATCACTGTGAATGCTGAGCCGTGGTGTGTTATGGCCTAGGTCTCAGTCTTTTCTTGCCTCCTCTAGCTGATCCTCTCAAGGTGACCTTATGCAGTTTTGTGGCTGTAAAACTAATCAGATGACAGTGACAATCCTTAAGTTTATATCTGCACTGCTAACTCTCTCCCTTCAAATTTAATTTTAAAAATGTACGCAATATCTTCTCTTACAGCTTAAATATGTGTCCCAAGCTGTATCAATGAACTCATTCAGAATCTGCTCTTCCCATAGACCTTTCCATTTCAATAATGGAAATTCTACCATATCAGTTTCTCAGTCCAAAGAATGCTCGACTACTGTCAATCTTTCCTGCCATGTTTAAAACTATTTATTGTTGCAAAGTCAGATACATAAAAGAGGAGATAGAGAGGAAGATCCTCCATCTGCCAATTCACTCCCTCAGTAGCCACCATGGCCGGAGCTGAGTCAATCCAAAGCCAGGAGCTAGGAACTTCTTCCGGGTCTCCCACACGGGTGTAGGGTCCCAAGGCTTGGGTTGTCCTTGACTGGTTTCCCAGGCCACGAGCAGGGAGCTGGATGAGAAGTGGAGCCACCGGGCTATGAACCAGCCCCAGATGAGTTCCTAGCGCATACAAGGCGAGGACTTTAGCAACCAGGCTACTGAGTGGGGCCAACTGACATTTTTTTTTAAGATTTATTTTTATAGGAAAGGCAGATTTACAGAGAAGAGACAAAGATTTTCCATCGGCTGGTTCACTTCCCCAAATGGTTACAACGGCAGAAGCTGAGCCAGTCTGAAGCCAGGAACTTCTTCCCGCTCTCCAGGCTTTGGCTTGTGTAGAATTCTCCACAGAGTAGGTAAGCTTATTGCTATCTAATGAAAGTCAGGAAGAAGGGAATCCAGAGAGAAGAACTGTGTTCCCTAGCTCTGTGCTATTTGACCCTCACCAAGAGGGTCTCCCACACCGGTGCAGGGTCCTAAAGCTTTGGGCCATCCTCGACTGCTTTCCCGGGCCACAAGCAGGGAGCTGGATGGGAAGTGGAGCTGCCAGGATTAGAACCGGCGCCCATATGGGATCCTGGCGCATTCAAGGTGAGGACTTTAGCTGCTAGGCCACGCCACCGGGACCCGATATTGTTTTAATATCAAATATTTTGGGTCATACTGTTGTAGTTCAAAAGTGGGAACAGACAGTAAGTAAATATGTGGCTGTGATCCTGTTCTAATACACGTTCATTTACAAAAACAGGCAGCAGGTAGACCGTGGGCTGATCGCAGCACAAACAGCCATTGTTCTGTCCCGCTGGTACACCTACCTTTGCCTTTCCAGAGACTTTGAGCCCAATGATTACAGCAGCAAAACAAAGATGGCTCAATCTTGGCCTATGTCCAAATAAGGCCTTCTAACAATTAAAGGGTGACCTCACCCCTATGAGCCAAATTCGAAGCAAGGAAGTTTGAGAGAAGATAGTAATTAGTATAACATGGCCAAAATTCTGTGTCTCTTGGGAAAGAAGGCATGGGATACAGAAAGGTATGTTTCCATCAGAAAGATGAATAGTAAAATAAGGGGCTAATAAGGATGCAAGAAACATCTTATAGTAAATGCAAGAAATGGAATACATGACTACTCAGAAAAGTCTCATTTACTCTCCCAAACCTTTTTGATTGGAATTAGAATAAACACATTTTATGCCACAACCAAATAAAAAAATTCCTTTACTGTATGCAATGTACTTGCATATATTCCATCCTAGACCATTTTAGAAGGTGATCATAAACTTATAAATTGATTTATAATTCACTATTTGGCTTTGATCTAACAAAAAGAATCTTGGAGAGTTAGATGGCAGAAAGATACTGAGAATCTTCCTTGAATAATAGCTTGCACTGCTTCTAGACAGAATGTATTAGCCCAGCACTACTGTTCCAAAAACTATGGGGAGCATGTTAAACTGCAAATTTGTGGTGCCAGCCTTGTGGCACAGTAGATTAAGCCACTGCCTGCATGGTCAGCATCTTCGATGGATACCAGTTTGAGTCTCAACTGCTCCATTTCCAATCTAGCTCCTTGTTACTATGTCTGTGGAAGGTGGCTCACATTGGGAGAACTGGATGGAGTTCTAGACTCCTGGATCTTAGTCCAGCCCTGGCTTTTGCAGCAATTTCGGTGACTTAATAAGTGACTTATGGCTGGAGGATCTTTCCTTCTAACTTGGCCATTTCAAATAAAGAACTCCCCATCCCTCACTTTAAAAGGCGGCATTACAAAGAGAAGAATACACACAGAATCTGACACTGGCTGGTTTGCTTCTTCCAGGTCTCCCACACAGGCACAGGACTGAAGGACTTGAATCCCCCTTCATGGCCCTCCAAGGCCATTAGCAGAGAAGTACAGATACTGAAACTTGAACTGGCACTCATATGGATGCTGGCACCACCGACAAAGGCTTACCTGCTATGTCACAAAATTGGTCCCAAGTAAATAAATCTTTAAGCTAGTACTTCCAACAGCTTGCATGGGTTTTTAGAGAAGATTATACTACAGGAATATATATCGAAAACTTTAGACCAACAATGAAAATAAAGAATGACAACTAAGTTCAAGAGGAAAGAAAAATAGAATAAGTAAACACTCCAAGTGAAGACAGTCCTGTTTTCTAAGGGGAAAGAACAATTTAGGTTTCTGACAGGAGACAGATACTCTGAGAATATGGTAAAATAGGACACAAGAAATAGTACCTTGTGATTCTTAAGGCCAGCACTGTGGTCTATTAGTCTAAGTCTCAGTTTGCAGTGCTGGCATCCCATGCAGGTACAACTGAAGTCCCAAATGTTTCACATCCAGTCCAGCTGCTAAGTTAATGAGCCTGGGAAAGCAACAGAGAATGGCCCAAGTCCTTGGGACCCTGCGCCCACATGGGAGGCCCAGAAGCAGCTCTTGGTCAGACCAGCCCAACTCTGGCCATTGCAACCATTAGAGGGCGGAAACCAATGGATGGAAGATCTCTCTCCTTCTCTCCTCCTTTCTCTAACTTTGCCTTTCAAATAAAAAAGTAATTCTTTTTAAGAATGGCAGATTTTACAGAGACAAAAGGAGAAACAGAAGGATCTTCCTTCTACTGCTTCTCTGCCCAAATGGCCACGACAGCCAGAGCCAAGTCAATCAAAAGACAGGAACCAGATGCTGCTTCAAGGTATTCTAAGGGGTGTAGGGGCTCACAGACTTGGGACATCTTCGCTGCTTTCTAAGGCCTTAAACACAGAGCTGGGTCACAGGTGGAGCTGGTAGAATACTAACCAACACCAACATGAAATTCTGGCACCACAGGCAGAGGACTAGCCTGAGTACATCACTGTGCCAGTGGCCCAAAAGAAATGAGTAAAAAAAAAAAACAGGGTTTGGCACGGTAATAGAATCTCATATGGATGCCACTTTGTGTCCTGGAATCCCCCCTTCCCACCCAGCTCCCGACTGTGGTCTGGGAAAAGCAGTTGAGGACAGCCAAATCCTTGGGACCCTGCAAATGTGTGGGAAACCTGGCAGAAGCTTCTGGCTCCTGGCTTGAGATCAGCTTAGCTCTGGCCGTTTTGGTCAATTGGGGAGTGAATCAGTGAACAGAAGATCTTTCTCTGTCTCTCCTCCTTCCTGTATATCTGACTTTCCAATAAAAATAAATACAAATCCCTTCTATACTAGATCCTGAAATAGACACACACAGAGAGAAAAAGGTTAAGCTTCAAAGCACAAGTAATTCTTGTTGTCAATAATAAGCAAATTATTTCAAACTTCAGGAAAATTTGCTGAATTCTAAAGGCATCTGGCAAAAAAAAAATTTACTAACTTTCTTTCCAATCTTTCTGACCTTCCCATACAGACTGAGACATTTAAAACATAAAGGAAAAATATATGCTTAAATATAATTATAAATGAATATTTTAAGTGTTGTCAGTTATTTGTGACTTATCTTGACTTTGAAGTTTCTCAAATTTTGATCTAATGACATTACCCTTGAGAGTATATGGTCTCAACCAAAGGAGTTAATATGTTAAAACAGTAAGTTTACAAAAGACATTGCTATACTGTAACAAGAACCCAACTGTGAGAGGTGGGTGATACATAATAACATAATAATGTAAAAATAAATTTCATTAATAAAATAAGTTAAATTTATAGACAGTGTCAACTAATAAGAACTTTCTTACAGCTAAGATTATATAATTTTCAAATGGTATTTCTTTAGTTAGCAGTTTAACTTTTCCATATATTTATTTTTAAAAACATAGTAACTACACAGAACATACACATATATTTATATGTTACCTCTCCCAAAGAGAAATAGTGACGTGGAATCTGAGAATCAGGATAAATATTCTCTAGGTACCATGAGAAAGGTTTGCATTGTAGTTTGTGTCTTAGACCAAGTCTTGATGATATATCTCCATAATCTACCTTTGTAACACCTGTTGAAAGAAACAACTGATTATGAATTATTAGTGTTCTATTATGTAATACATTTAGATTCTAAAAAGTTGGAGGAATGGCAAAAGGAGAATTATTTAGGTGATGTATAACTATATCAATGATATTCTAGGAATTCACCAGCCAAATATAAAGCGAGGAAAAGATATTAAGGTATGTCTTCAAAAAAATTAATGTAATACACAACCAAAAACATAAATCACAAATATAACTCATGTGGGGTCAGAAAAGTTTGTTAATGCAAAAACAAAATTCAGGATTAATGGAGCACTATCCCCACAAAACTAAGCTAAGGTGAGAAGCCCTTGGCGGCAGGTCACTAAGGCTCCATGCCTGCCGCAGATACCCACTGGTCCCCTAGACGATGAGTACAATAGCATCATGGGTCTGCTTATACAGCATGCTCACGACCCACTGCTAAACTGCAATAGTGTTATGGTGGATTTAAAAAAAATCCCAGAATCCAGAGGAACCCATATAAGTAAGAAAAATGTTTGAAAATTAATACAATGAAACTTTAAAAGAACAGATGTAAAATGAAGTTAGGTTTAAAAAAGAAAACAGAGGGCATGGGTAACACCACAGACAACAAAACTGATCTGGATAACTTCGTAACATTGTTAATAATATATTAGTTTCCTGCAAAGTATCTTATTACTGTGTGTGACCTCATTTATTCCTTAAAATGTAGGTATCTTCCAGGGATAATAAAGGTACATTATTTTTATAAGGTAAAGTAAGCTAACCTGGAGAGATAATATAGAAAAAATTCTTGAATTCATCCATCCATACTTCTGCAAGCCGTCTGTTATTTTTATTGATAATCTGCCCTGTGCCTCCTGGAAACGTGTAAGGCGTAGCTTTCCGAAACACATGTCCAACATGTGAGCATGTAACAATTTCCAAAGTTCCTCCACACTGCCAAATCTGGAAAAAATAATAAAGACTGCCACGTAAGACACTGCTGGATAACCAGGAGAAAAGTTCATCTTAGTCTTCCTGTGATGTTTCTCTTAAAATTGTAATCACCAAAAACCTCCCCAAGCACCTCCACAGCACCCAGTCTGAAAACAGCAGCAAAAGAGCCATATTTAAGACTAATTATTGAGTGTTACAGTTGGAATTTCAGACTCCAGGGCATACAATTGGGCTCCTATTACATGGTTACATAGCCAAAGGTTCCTTAACAGCAAATGTTTCTCTAATTTTTGCTTGTAGTCAAATGAAAAAATAGACTATAAAATACAGAAAAAGAGGCTGAGTGTTATATTTAGGTCATGATTCCTTAACAGGATCATGAATTCCAATAGTTAAATTGGAACCACACCTGGTTAACATGGGCACACCATTTTACGAAATATATAAGTATTTTTTCTCTATAGAATGTATTAATGTAGTTCACAGTTCAAAACAATAAAACCATACAGTATGCTAATCAGTTTCTTACATATTTTTCTTTCCAAACCTGTGTCACAACTTGCACATTCAACAACCTAAAACTTAAACTAGACCAATTTTAGATTTTTCAGTGAAACAGTTACAGCATTTCTGTTGTCTTTGTCAGAATAATAAAGGCAAAAGAAAGATTTCCAATTATAGGCTTATGTCCTTAATTCAATGAAATCCTTTCAAAAACAGTTTTCTTTTTAAGTTAAAAATTCATAATAATTTTCAATTAAAATCACATTTTGAAAAGTTTTGATTTTATTTAGCTTTCAATAGGCCTACCTGTAAGTCTTCCCAGGATCACAAAGTGCTGACCTGGATAGATCTCCAGGATAACCTAGAGTCTGAACTTCTCCTTTTACAAAACAGCAAAGCGATTCACTGGGAACTGAGTGAGCTTGTTGGTTCAGATTACAGACTGTTTTCAAGATGATACTGTATACATATCAACTCATGCAAAGATTTTTAGCTACAGTTCAGAATTCTTCGGTCTTTCTGTTTTTATGGAAAGATAAAAACCAGTAAAGGACCAGGTTTTTATCTAGGAGAACAATTTTTCACAACAGAAGGAAAAAGCATTTTACACAGCATAAATTTATGATTTTGGCAGTGAAGTATCAAAGTATCAGCTTTTAATTTTTCTGGAGCTTAATTACTTTTTGAAGTTAACAAAAACTAGGGAATCCTGTATAAATTTTGTAGCTGAATTACTATAACTGAGTGATTTGCCTGAACACCTTGTAATGAACCCTTAATAGTACCAAACATTTCATGGACTGAGTCTTTGAAGTTGGATTAAATGCATTAAATTAACAGCACAAATCAACAAAGTCTATCTATACTTGAAGTTAAATAACAGCTTTAGTTTTTCAAAGGGAACTTACCCTAAAGGAAATTTCTAGGTTTTCTCCTCCCCAAATATCCATTCCAGCATCATATGTCCCAATTTCCTGGAAGTAATCTCTGTCTATTGAAAAAAGGCCTCCTGCCATTGTAGGTGTTCTAAAATTTAATAATACTGTTATTAATCTTAACAACTCAAAAACTTTCAACAACAAAAACTGATTTGTTTATAACTATAGGATAAACTTTCACTCTTCAGAAACTTTCACTGACCCCAGGAACTTTGTTTCAAACATGACCTGTAACCTGGTAAAGCTGGCTGCTGGCCCTGTCCTGTCAGCTTTTGCCAAGCAGCCCTGTCTGCCACACGCCTAACGGTGGCTCCTATCTTCACCATCTTTCTTTAAATTGAAACTACTACCTGAAATCCTTTTCACGTGATTCTAGGCCCATTCTGCAATTTCACACAACTACAAATATGCTTTATTTTATAAACCAATTAGACTCAGGATAGAGTTAACATAACCCAGGTTCTAAAGGATGCGAAGTACTGTAAAGATAAAATATGAAAGTAGCATGAAAACAAAGTCCTTTCCCTATATTCAACAGAAACCTTTAAGGAAATAAAATAAAAAAGGAAATGTAGAATACAGTTAATATACATCTTCTAAGGATTGGTTCCGCTCCAGCAATTTCAGTCATTTGGGTAGTATGAGAGCAGACGGATGAGCTTTCTCTCTCCTCACTATAAAAATCTACCTTTCCAATATAACAAACAAGCACATATCATCTTTAGGACAGATCTGAGCAGCCCAGGAGAGTACACGCTAGAAGGACTCTTAGTTGCCACAGCAGTAGAAGGCTGATCTAAGTGAGCTAAATCGCAGGATTGCTCATAAAGCCCTCAGTCTCGGTTTCACATTCTGATCACCACCAAAATTTTCAGCCCTCTCTGAAAAACAGTTCATATATGACAAAGTGTAAAACAACAAAATCAGATAATGCGTTAATGAAGTTCCTTTCTATACTTTGAGTCAATTCTAGTTATCTTCATGGTTGAAACAAGCCTTTCTAACCTTGCCAGCCAGTAACGATCATCCAGATGGAACAAATCTGAGTTTAAAATCTTAGTACAAAGACACAGCTGTAGGTGACATTTTCCCATGCAGACATTTATAATTCAGTGGCAGTGACACAAATTCAGTATTTTTAATTTTTAACTGAAGTACTCAAATTTGTATCTCAAATATTCATATATCAATCACATATGTATATTTTCATTTCTCACAAACACTTGATTTATACAAAATAAAATTTTCTTTTGATCAAAGGAAAAAAAGTTCCTCTTTCAAGTACGTATGTGAAACATGAAACATGGTTCTTTACACTATGAAGTATATAAACGGTTTTAAATTTTCCAAAATACATTTACAATTCTCCCTATGATAGCCAAAGCTCTACAGTCCTGTCAGTAACATCAGAATTACCTGACAGGAAGTGTCCGATCACCTTTCCTTCTATCCATTTCTCTCTGGGGAACAGGATACCAGCGGAAATTGAGCTTCCAGTTGAACCCACCATAGGTCATATCAGAGCCTGCCATGTACTCGAAAGTATCATCACTGATCACATCAATGATAGGACAGACCACTGTTCTCCTAAAATCACAAAGGCAGGTTAAAAAAAAATCACTCGTTTGATGCGTGTAATGATCAGGTGATAACCTCCTGTCCCTGTTTCTTTCACTTTTATATAAACGCCACATGTAAAAATATGTTTTTACATTTTCAAAATAATACTTTTAGTTACCACATATGTAATAATCTTAAGGTATTGATTTTTTAAACAAGTAAATATTTGTACTATCTTTTGTAGTGAAGCTATTAAGTGAATATGATACACATAAATTTTGCTTTTTAAGAGTCAACTCTTAGGGAGATTACTGAATGGAAAGCATTGTTTTTCAACAAATTTCAGAAGTATTACACATATGTATATTTCCCTCCCTGTAATTTGCTTTTGACAACATCAACTTTTGACTCAAAAATTTCAGAATGTGTTTTCTAATTATTAGAAATAATTTTCCCCAAAATTTCTATTTCTTCACACAAAGTATGTTTAAAAATGCTCAATTAGCATTGTGCCTATTTTTATAAATCTGAAAAATCCCAATCCCTTCCCAATGTCTCTGGTCCTGAGGAAAAGTGCCCAAAGCCTCTCGGAGCCGTATTTACAGTATGTGGATCCACCCAACCACCTTGTGTTTTCTTTCCCTACCCTGACATTATGAAGATATCTTCATACTACTTTCAATAAAAAGGCTTGTACTTCTCACTTTTGAGTCTTCAATCCTCAACTGATTGGCTCTGGATAGGATGCTCAATCGACTATCCAACCTCATTTATCTTCTGAATCAAGATTTTCCAGCACCTTATCTTGATATAATAAAGATGGCTGCTGTCCTGAATCTGTTAATGAAGTCTACCTGTAAAGCAAGCTTGTTTCTAGATACTATTAAACTAGGGTATCAGGAAGTTCCTGCATCAACCTCAATGCCATTATTAATACATCTTCACAAGTCCCACTGTCTAGGGCAAACCCTCTACCTGTTTCTGTTGGTCCAAGCAGAACCAACTCCTGAAGGAACTGAGTACATCAGCGGACAAGAGAGCTTACCACAAGGCAGGAACGCCTGGTAACCCTGAGACACCAAGCAGCAGTTGCTATATCTCTTCCTGCTTCCCTCTGGCCATAAACAACAGAAGAAAGCATCCCTAGCAATGCTATTTTTGCCGAGGACAAGAAGACATTCCCATTCAAAAACGTTCCACACACTGAGTCTGTGCAGAAAACCAATGCCCTCCCTGATGATGCGTTACAAGCATGCACAAACTGAGGAGTTGCAGCCTTCCTGCAGCCCCTACACCTAAAATGTGTGAGTCCAGTACTATATACCCTGAGCGGCCATTTCCCTTTATGGTCACCCTGCCATGTGGAAGTGGTCTGGGGCTGTCTCCCACCAGGAAGCAGTCCATCAGATTTCCTCTCTCTTTCTCCTGATTAATAAAACCTTTACACTTAAACTAAATAACTTTTTGGTTTTTTTTTCTCAATTGCCTTGATGCCACTTTCATCCTCTACCAGGAGGCTGCTGCACTCCTGCACTCTGAGAGACAGCCTTGCCAGTGGGCCGGCTACTGACAGTAAATCCTCTTGCGTTTCCTGGTGTCTTTGGTGTGGGTTTGTGGCTCAAAAGGCTAATAGCTTCTCCTTCGAGAACCTGGGTCTTCTTTGGCAACATCATACAATATTTGTCATTTCTGCATTTCTATGTAATTGTTAGAATCAGCCTGTCCAGTTTGTCAGAATTCTGTTGAAATTAAAACTGGAAATGAATTGAATTTATGCATCAATTTGGGGAGAACATACATTTTTAGAATATTCACTTTCTATGCATGAACCTCATCTTCTCCACTTGTTTTTCTATAATTTTAAACATTTAGCTATAAAATTCAATTTAATCTTAGGAACTTATTTCATGCATCTTTAGATAAACTTACTTGTAAGTACCATCTGTAATCTATGCCTATGAAAGCCATCACCAGTTTTTAGTCATAGGTTTATATTCATAGTTTGAAAAAAATTTATTGGAAGATACTAGAGTAAACCAACCAGTCAAGCTGTTACATATGTATACACATTTTTGAATTTTGTTTGCACCTTGGGTGGGCATTTGACCTCACAGTTCTACTGCAGGTTCGGATGTATGCATCTCACACTGGAACCCCTGGGTTTTCGTCTCAGCTCCAGTCCTGACTCCAGCTTCGTGTGTGTGCACACCCTGGAGGGCAGCAGTGATGGCTCAAGTAACTGGGTTCCTGCTACCCACGTTGGTGACCTGAACTGCAGTGCAGCTGCTACCCTCTACCTCTCAAGGGAGGGATCCTGAGGAGTCAATCAGTGGATGGGAACTCACTGTCTCAAATAAAATGAATTTAAAACAACACTAGGAGGGGACACAACAATAAACTTAATTTTTCAAAAAACTCTTTGGACTACTCTGGTACAACTCACACTGGAGATCCTTGTGCTGCCTTCACTACTTCTCTTACCACCTCACAGTGCCTTCTGCGTTCTTGCTGTTCCTAAATGTTTGTTATCCTTGCACAAGCATTTCCTAATCAGTCACCTGTGACTTACAAGAGAATAATTCACAGACACATTCCATTTGTTTCCTTGGAAAAGAATGTTGACTTTTCCCCTTATTTATTCAACTCTAATGGAGACAGATGAAAATCCAGCTAACATAATCAATCCAGTAATTTTAGCTTCCCTCATATTCCACCCAGCTGGTGAGTTTACCCTACTAAAATTTAGCATCTAATGTTAAATACAGCCTCTAGGTCAAATTGTATGAACAAGCAAAAACTCAACCAACATGTATGCAGCAGATGCTACATTCTTCCCTGATACACAAGAACTAAATCAATGCCAAGCAATAGGCAATTTTTTGGGAAATGTGTAACAAAGGGCCTAGTGCAACAGCCTAATGGCTAAAATTCTTGCCTTGCACATGCTGGGATCCCATAAGGGCACTGGTACGTATCCATCCCAGCGGCCCTGCTTCTACTTCCCATCCAGCTCCCTGCCTGTGGCCTGGGAAAGCAGTCGAAGACAGACCAAAGCCTTGGGACCCTGCACCAGCGTGGGAGACCTGGAAGAGGCTCCTGGCTCCTGGCTTTGGAAAATCACCTTAGCTATTGGCCAGTGCGGCCAGTGCATGGATGATCTTTCTGTCTCTCTGACTTTGCAATAAAAAAAAAAATTTGTTTTTAAAAAGAAACAAACATGAAAGACTACAACCTTAGGTGCACATTGTACCAATGTTCTCCTGTATTATCAATGTTTCTATAAACAATTAAGCATTTCAGGCTGTAATGTGCTCTTCTCCAGCTCCTTTTCCTTCCTGCTGTGCTACAGCTGCAGTCCTAACATGGATGTGGCTAGAGAGCAATGACCTGCTGAACCAGTGTTCCTTAGGAGGGAGGTACAAGCACATGGTTGTATCCTACCTTCTCTGAGTTCACTGTTCATCTGCTCTCCCATTTAGAGAGCTGAACATACAGTATTGAAATTCCAGTAACAGGCCTCCCAATTCATCCCTATTAAGGAGACAGTGTGCAAATACCTCTAGGTTTTACAATGTGATTAAGCTTAGGGAATCACTCTCATATTTACGATTACAGAATAGTACAATCCACCACACAGTTTAAGACCAATATAGAAAATTACCTGTCATGTTTGATCCTGGCTAAGAGGGGCTCCAGCCACCCCACTGTGCACTCACAGTGAGCATCCAAAAAGGTGATCACTTGGCCTTTCGACACAGCAGCTCCTTTTAATCTAGCTCTGATCAGTCCAGAACGCTGTTCCATTCGAATTACATGAACTGGAACTTTTAATTTTTTCACATAACTCTCTAGGGGTCTTTTCAAAAAATCTGAAAAAGTAACAATAAGAAAGAATTGTGACACAGTGCAAGCCAAATACAGAAGCAATTCTGATTTACAATAAATACTCCTTCAACACAAATTCACTGAGTGCTCTTTGTGAGATCCCTGATTTATAAACCCATTTCACTGAAGCATCCTTTATAATTTCATGAGCATGGCCTACAACTCCCTCTGTGAGTGCCTCCAGGGTTCCAGGCAGGCATGTTACCACATTTCTCTGACTCTGTCGGGGCTCAATGCTACTTTTTCTAACCAGGCATAAGGGAAACAGGGAAAAATTTGCAACAGGGAAAAATTTAAGAACTTTAAGTTAAGATCTCAATATAGAGAAAGAACAGAAAATGACACAGCTGTAGGATTTCTTCACAGGCAACAGGAACGAACCATCCTACTGATTACCCCATCTTCTGACCACATAATTCCTTTATACGGAGGCACATAAGAGGTCAAGTTTTAAGAAAAATCTTGAACTGTAAATGTAAGTTCAAAGAAAGATCCCTCAAAGACAAGAAGCTCAAAGGAAAAAAGCTTCTGGGAGAGAGAGAGGCAATTTGATGAGAAAAGGAAGGGAAAAGAGGAAAAGGAAAGTATGTGAGGGTAAAATTAGCAGCTACAACGAACAGTTCAGAAAAGAGGCTAAGTCTAAATTTCAGTAGTGACTTTAAGCAGCAGTGAAAGCACCTGGGACATGAGTTTCCTGCTAACGGCCTGGCAAAGGCACTGGAAGATGGCCCATGTTTTTGGACCCCTGTAATCCATGTGGGAGACCCAGATGAAACTCCTGGCTCCGGCCTTTAGCTTGGTCCAGTCCCAGCTGTAGTGGCCATTCAAGGAGTGAATCAATGAATGAAAATCTCCACCCTTCTCCTTCTATAACTCTGACCTTCAAATAAGCTTTTTAAAAAGTTCATGAAAAATTATACATTCATTTTGAATTAAAAAAAAAAAAAACAGGAAGAGCACAGCTTCTTTGATGCAAAGAGAAAAATCTTTCAGATCAGGTGAGTTCATAGAACTTATGCCAGAGAAGCTAACTTATTGATGGCAATATGACCAAACATCTTTTCCAGTTAGTCCCCATCTAACAGGTAAGAGGATAATTTCTCAAGCAAAGGAAATACCTGACATGGAAACACTGCAACTCATATACATAACAAGCTGTCCTACACAACTCTAATAAGAGAAATCATGATCAATGCTTAGGCACTCATTAAATACTAAATAGTAGAGATCCAAAGAGCTTCCAAAATGCTGGAGTTGGGAAGACAAATGGGAGTAAATCAATTGCCAGTTTGGTAACACTAGAAATGACTAAACGAGGAAGTAATGAGGGACATGAAAATGGAAAGAGGAAAGGTCCTTTAGACACTACAATGGAAGCCCCATCATTTCCATTTCTGCTCGTATTATTTTCTGACTTTGCTTCTGAGCTAAGAGTATCTGAAAATTATCACTATGATTTTCTATAAGCAAAGTCTTAGCATCAGAAAGCTCTAGCCTGATTTCTGAGGGAAAGCATTGAGAGCCATTCCCAGATAAAAGTAACCTTTTGATACAGCAGTTGGTTCTATTGACCACAATGCTACTCATTTTATATTTTATCTAATCCTCAAACCACCCTACAGGATTAAGTGCTATTGTGCATATTTTATTAGCGAAAGTCCATTACATGAATTTAATCAAGGTATAGTTTGTTAAGGGAAGGATCCAAGTTTATCTAAAGGCAAAGCCTATCTCTTTACTCACAGCAAGAACATCCTAGAAGGAAACTTGAGAACCAAACTGTGAAAGCATATAATCAGAAAAAATTTCAAATACTTTTTGTCCAAATTGGTAGACTCTCATATGCTGTAGGATTTGATATAAATTCTCCTGCATGAAATTAGTCAAGGTTGGTTTTATCATAAACAATGTTATCTCCCAACAAGTTTTTCCTAAAATTTTTGGTTAAAAATGCTATCTGGAGAACAAAAGTTATCATTTCTAAGACCTATGTTTTTGGAAGATATAATACTCTGTCTCGTCTGAGAATAAAATGAAAAATTCATGAATCTGTAGTCAGATAACAAAAAAATACACTATTCATACATTTTCTTCACATTTTTGTGGCTTTCATGCAATTAAGCTAAGAAACAGTTGTCTGTGCATCAGTCAATACAAAATTATGGACTGGCTGGGGAAGAGGAACCACCTATTCAAATTTCATCTTAAATAAATGAAGGAATGGGAAAGTAAATGATTGTGGTTAGAGGGTGCTATTTCATCTAAAAATAAAGAGAATCTTATTTACTAGATTATTTGGATAATTACAGACCTATAAACAGATTCTGAAGCATCCCTCCATCATTCAAGGTAAAACTTTCAGACTGTTCACAGCAGCATCTGAGGAGTACTGGACACAATTCTAACATGCAGCAGGAAGAGCAAGGAGTTCAGAGTCTAACAAACCTGATCCCTAAGAGCATCTCTTCTGGGTTTCATGAGAAAAACAATTCGTCTCAGATTAGGACTATGGCATCAATTCCAAGTCTTAAGAAAACCCTCTGAGGTGGCATTTATGTAACTTCTGACATGAATTAGATTTGCCCAGATTGACTGCATTACAGATCTTCTAATAGCAGAATCACATCAGAAGTGCTGTACATAGTGCTTAAGGGGTCAAGCCCTAAGGCTTAATTACTCTATTAAACTAAGCCTCATTTTCTTCATCAATAAAACTGGGATAATTATAGCACCTACTTCATACTTTCTTTAATACAGAACTATTCAGCAAGCCTAATTAACTGTGAAATCAAATAACTAAGGCCATGTGAAGACTATGTGTGTTATACACATTTCTTCTGAAATGTACACAGGTAAGAAACGTGAGGATGAAATGACTGGCAAACCACTCATTTAATGATTTCCAGATTGTTTACTATGTAAAGGCATTGGGGGCAACGAGGAGATACTGGTGAGCAAACAGTCCTTAAGGGAGCAGAATGGGGAAGGGCAGACATGAACCAATAAATAAGCATAAGATTAAAACTCAGGTAAGAGCTATGGAAAAGTACAGTGTGCTCTGAGATGTGTTCATCAGAGGCCTAGAGAAGTCACATTTGAGATGATCCCTGAAGGGTGAGAATGTGTAAATCAGGCTGGGGTGATGGCAGAAAATGTTTTCTAGAAAACAATGTTTAGGGAGACAGAATAGGATCAGCCCAAATAAATGTCCAAGATAGGAAAGAGGATGATACTTGCAGTCAATTCAAAGAACTCTGAGGACAAAAGGCAGAAATATGGGGAGGGGGTAAGAAGCACGAAGGGAGATGCCAGATGAGGCCACAGGCACTGGAGGAATGTGGCTGGACTGTTTTAGATATAAGGCCGAACTTTAATAAAACAAATGCTGATTTATTTACAAAATTTTTGAAATTCTGTTTGTATCAGCAGTTACGATGCACACCGACGGCAGGGTCATATTGAGCCTGGTCTCCAATCCAGGAGATTCTTCTGAAAAGCAATGTGGAACTACAGATCCAAGACCAGACAAGATGCTGAGTTTTTTGACCTAATGTTTGCACTCTTAGGAGTCTACACTAAAGAAATGCTCTGAAATTCGGGCGAAGATGTATTTGCAATGACATTAATCAGTTATATGTAGTGTAGAAAGGAACTGGCAATGATAGACTTCATTAGTAAAGCCCAGGGCACAGTTATACTTGCAGTCACTATCAATTATGTTCTTGAACACTGCACAATATGGGGTGAAGAGTAGGCATAGCAGTGTGTGAGCCCCTCAACTAAATCAGACATGTTTCCTCAAGCCTGTAACCTTTCGTCCATCCCAAGTGCCAGGAAGAGCCAGTGCTGAAATATAGGGGTTCACAGAGGAAGGCTCCCTGTTTTTGCCATGTGCTGCTGGCTGGCTCTTGTCCAGAGAAAATGTTTTAATCAAAAATGTGGCATACTAGACAGAAAATCAAGAAAGAAACAACAGAGCTAATCTATACTATGTACCAAACAGACCTACTTGATATATACAGACTATTTTCAGTCCACACTTTTAGAATACACACTCTTAATCAGCTCACGAAACCTACTCTAGGAGACCACATACTCAGTCACAAAGCAAGTTTCAGCATATTAAAACAAAATGAAAATTATACCACGTATATTTTCTGACCACCATGGAAAAAAGCTAAAAATCAACAACTCAAGAAACTAAAAAATACATGAATATGTAGACTGAAGAACACACTACTGAAGGAACAGTGGGTCATAGAAGAAGAGAAATAAAAAATACTGGGAATGAATGAAGATGAGTACAATATATCAAAACTTATGGGATAAAGTGTCAAAGCAGAAGTTCTTAGCAATTAATGCCTATATGAAAAAAATCAGAAAGGCCTCAAATAAATAATCTATCAGTGCATCTCAAGGACCTAGACAACCATCAAATACAAAGTAAGTAGGAAGAAATATGGGAATGTAACAATCGACACCTCAGCTATACAAATCATCATCAGAATTTACCACAAATAGCTATTTGCCTACAAACTAGGAAATCCGCAAGAAAGGGATACATTTCTGGACACATATAATCTACCTAAATTGAGTCATGAAGACAAAGAAAACCTAAATAACTATGACACAGACGGAATAAGTAGTTAAAACCTTCCAAAGAAAAGACCAGGACCAGATGGCTTCACTGCTGAATTCTACTAAACCTTGCAAAGCACAAGTTCCAATTCTGCTCAAATTATTCAAAGCAAATGAAAGGAAAGAATTCCCCAAACTCCTTCTATGACACCAGCGTCACCCCAAACCAGAAAAAGATACAACAAAGAGAATAAGAAATAAATATCCCTGATGACAAAATCCTCAACAAAATACTAGCTAGTTTAGTCCAACAATACATCAGAATGATCATCTATTTATCCCTGGTATGTAGGGATGGTTCAACATAGGCAAATCAATAAATGACACACCATATTAACAAGTTGAA